ATGCGGGACTCGATCCCAGGACCCTGGGATCATGACCTGAGCCGAAGGCAGACGCTTAACCGACTGAGCCACCCAGGCGTCCCTAACATATTTTTTTAATTCAAAATCACTTCCAGAGGGTTTTGGTTTTTTTTTTACAATTCAGAAGTACTATGAAAGGAGTTTGCAAGTTCAAGCCTGGGGAGTGCTGATCTAGAAGCTGTTCTCTGAAAGGCTGTTCAGCCCAAAGCTCCAGGAAGGACCTGGGTGGCTGGAGCCACTCCCACTGCCCCTCTTGGCTCCCAGGCGGGCTGGCACTCTCAACACCTTACTTCACCCTTAGTTTATACGTCTGCCACCTCTACTGGGATATAAGCTCCCTGCTTCATTCGTCTTTTTATCTTAATACACGGCCCAGTGCCCAGCTCACAGGAGACTCCTCAGGTGCTTGCTAAGGTTCCCAACACCGTAGAGGCTGCTTTCGGATAAGGAAGAAGTTCTGTGCTTCAGAGTGAAAGGCACCCAAACCTGGTGTCTATGCCCACAGCCTGACTACTGGTGCGTGGCACTTAGGGGAAAGGAACTCAGCAGGGCTCTCCGGAATAGAAGAGCATTTCTCAGGAAGCAGCGTTCTGAAGATGTCAGCTGCCCCCCAGCCCACCCCCTCACAAATGTCAGTTGGCATGGTCTACTTGTCAGGGGAAAGAACAAAGCAGAGGGCTTTCTATTTTACTTTCTCACCCCGCTGCTGGAGGTCAAATTTGCATACACCGATGTTGGTGACGAACAAAAGCTGGGATGTGAAGAGCTGAAACGGGCATTTGCCAGGGGCCCGCCTCCCTTCAGGCCTGGCCTCTGGGAGCCCATCTGCCAGTTCAGTGGCCGGCCCCAGAAGGGGACTCCGTTCTGCAGCCCCCAGGCCTGGCTATCAAAACAGGTTCCTTCAGAGCGAAAGAGAAAAAGGCAGCAGGGGAGTTGCTCTTTGACATGTCACTGGTCTCTTTTTTGCCATTTGTTAGCAAAGCAGTCACGGCTGACAGTGAGACAAACTTTTAAATAAACAATTCTCCTTTTTCCGCTGAGGATACCTGAGTGCCCAGCAAGTACTAGTACCTAAAAACTTACTAGTGTTCTGGCAAATACAGAGGTAATACACTACATCAAAACAGCTGATACTTACGTGTTAAGCTCTGGTTAGAATGTTCCATGTGTGAGCTCGGTTAATCCTCACAGCAGCACTAACATACTCTTACCATCCACACTTCACAAAGAAATGGGCTGGAGAGATTAAACCATTTGTCCAACGTCACTAAGGTATTGTCCCTCTGTTCCTGCCTTACACTTTCACATGTGTGGGAGGGAGAGATTATTAAATAGAAAACAAAGTGGTAAGAAATAACAGGTATGGGGGCACCTGGTTGGCACAGTCGGTTAAGCATCGACTCTTGGTTTCAGCTCAGGTCATGATCTCAGGGTCATGAGATCGAGCCCTGCGTCAGGCTCCACGCTCAGCACTGGGTCTGCTTGAGATTCTCTCTCCCTCTGCCCCTCCCCTGACCCCCCGCATGTGCGCACTCTCTCTCTCTAAAATAAATAAATAAATATTTAAAAAAAAAAAAGAAGAAGAAGAAAGAACAGGTATGTAAAATGCTTGCACGTTTGGAACCAATAAAGCTGAAT